GTTCCTGGAAGACACTGCCAACGTCCGTGTCGTACAGGAGCGTGCGTTTTCATAATTGCGGGTTGCGAACCGCAAGGAACGTGCTGCCATGACGGCAGCACGTTCCTTGCGTGTAGATGCAAGCATCTACACGCAAGGCATGTATGCTTGCATATACTATAATGCTTTCATCTACTAGACCAAGTGTGAGAAATAGTTGCTGCCTAGAGAAGAAGTGTATGAACTATGTGAATAAACTTGGAACCCTCTGTCTGTGATCAATCGTTTTTTTTTCACCGATAATCACCGATTTTAGCCTCGCCGTGAGACGTTCTACCGAAATACACCGGTGTTTTGAAAATAAATAAACACCGAAAAACATCCGCCGATTTTTCTCACAAATAAACACTGGAAAGTACACACCCTACCCATAACCTATAAACATTAAGACCCTGTCTTGAGAATATATTAAATCAGTGGGAAATTCGTAGTGCGCTCAGGTTTCCGATTCGGCAAAAGCGAGCACGTCCAAAAACAACAACATAAAAACTTTTTTTTTCGCAAACGCACACGCATCCCAGGTAATGACCCGCTACAGAGCGCTGTACGCGGGCGATAACGTTTTTTTCACAAACGTTGCACCTGCAGAGAACCGTCGTAATTTTTTTTATTTATTCTTCATTTTGTCGCTTATAGGGATCTAGAAAAAAAGGTATAAAAACATTTACATCTTGCTAGGACCAATACGGATCCGCCAAGCCGCGCATTTCAGTAACGGGAAATCTCGCTGGTCTTTCCCAACGGCGTTTAATATGCCTAGCCCATTTAGAACACCTTTCTTCACGTCCGCCCAAAACCAGTCTTTCGCGCACATTGCGAACCGCACCGAACGGATTGTCTGTAAACGGGCGCTTGAACCGCCGACCGTTCCGCTTCGCAATGGAATCTGGCTTCCTGTCGCTACTGGGCCTGGCGCTTGAACCGCCGGCCGTCCCGCTGTGCAATGCAAACTGGCTTCCTGTCGCTACTGGGCCTGGCGCCAGCTCCTTTTTGCAGCCCCATTCCTCGGTCCTCCCTCATCACCCTGCGAGCTCCGTTGTCGCTCCCACCCCGCTTTGGTTGTGCACAAAACAACTCAAGCGAGAGTCTTGAATAATAATTGGGTTGTGTGTGTGTTTATACAGCCTAGAACTTGGTCTGCCTCACAGGGGCGACGAGTCTCCCAGCTGTAGATGAGAAATTTAGCCAGTGCGGTACAGCCGCTAGCCTGGGGTCTTTAACGTGCATCACGCAGTAGTGATACACGACCGCACGCCGGTACGATGCTCATCCAGATCGAAACGGGCAGGGGTGGGGCTCGAACCCAGGATCCCTGGGTTCTGCAGCGCGAGCTTTCGCTCCACGTGCTCCGAGCTGGTGTGCGCTAGACCACTCGGCCACCGATCCCCCCGAGAGTCTTGATAGCACGTGGAGTCTGCTTTGCTGCCGCCGGGTGCACGCCTAGTAAAGTGTCCACTCCAAGAGTAGTCGCCGATTTCCGCCGAGCATGAAATCGGCGACTGCGCGGTACGCGCTGCACGCTGCACGCTCTATCGGAGTTGCTCCTCGTACTCGGACACAAAATCCCTGGAGGATGGCCCGATAAATATTATGCGTTGAATAACATGTAGTCAAATATGTCGTTCTCTTTAATGTTTATTCCGGTGTCAATTCAAATCGATCGATTAAAACTGTCGTGATAAATATATGGTTCTTTGACTGTAAAGGCCCATTCACAAGGGAGCGTTTGCTTGTGTCTTGTTACTTAACGGTATAAGTCGCCGAAATATCCGTGCGTTTGAGGTCGCGTACAAGGCAACTCCTTGAACCGATTGCTACAGCACATATGTCCCGGTGACTCGTGACGTAAGCAGACGTGAGCTGCCGTAGCATAACGCAACGTAAGCAAACGGTTCTGAGAAGACTGGCCTTAAGAAATTAGCGCGTATCAGTACTTTTTTTTTTCTTAGCCGCTACTCAAGCCCAAACAATCAGTGTAACGGTGATTAAAAGAAGGAAGAAACAGTTCATGAAACCAAAACAAAACTGCAATAACATGGAAGATTATAGAATGTACTCACCCTCGCTTGGTTTTTTGGGCGTTGCTTCTATCGCACGTCCTAGAAAAGACAACTTTGCAGTGTCCAACGCCTGAATTAATACGATATATCGCGTATTTTAAGTATACCATTGAAAAAAATGAATACATAAAATAATTGATCACACTACAGGTGTCGATTTGTTTCCAAACCATAAATGAAACAAATGTTTGTGGTTCAGTTATTGGTTACGTTCTGGGTAAATACCCAGCATCAGAAATGCGAGTGGTAAGACCTTTATTATGCACAAAATTCGTCATCATAAAGTTTATACCAGATTTTCAATTATTTACAATACTGCATTTTAATACTATGTACACAAAGGGTGAAAGGAATTAAAGCAATGAATTTTTGACTCGGGGGCCACAGTGACACATTTTCCAATAATCTTGCACACTCTCCTGTAGAAACTTTAATAGCAAATTCTAGACACTCTTTTAAGGTCACGGCTATACGGTGGGAAGTAAAATTTGTAATGTTTTAAAATGATCATAAATATATTTACAATCAACTCACGAACGCGAATGTGTGTGAGACCCTGTTGTGTGTTTTGACCTGCATGTTTGTCGTCGTTTGATTAACTTTCACAAGCTGTGTTTTGCCCTCACATTTCTCCAATGAAATGTATCTCGAAGGCATATATCTATAATATTTGCTTGTCAGCTACTATGCTAAGCTTTTTTAGCATAGATAACCACCGCTTACATGCCATTTTCCGATAGTTCAAGAGCTTTAACTGATATAACGTGATCGTAAAAGCATCACAAACTTGTCATGCGGGTAAGTTATATTGTCCACATGTTGAGCCTTGTATTAGTTATCTGGACGCAAAAGTCTTCAATTACATGAACAGACAACAACTTCTTGCCTAACACACACACAAAAAAAACAAACAATGATGGGGTGATAAAATCTAGTGTGTGCCACATTCATTACATTCTTATAATGCAAGAATCTAGTCTTATTAATGGGCGCCACTTGCACGACTTCTGCTGGACGCTAATGCTTAGTTACAACACTGAGTGAGACACATACTTAAGTTACTGTCAATCCGAGAAAAAAAGTCAAAGGGATTTAAGGCTGGATCACACAGTTCCGTGTGACTTAGCTGCTAATTGCGTTGTGATTTCTTGTAACCGCTTTACACAGTGGCACACTGGTGACAGCTATCGGAAGGTCCTGAAATTCTGAACTGCGTGTATACCTTTAAAACTTTTCACTCATAATTATTTTACCGCGGGTTCGAAATAATATAGTGAATTTTATAACCGACTATTTCTCGTAATTAATGCATTAATTTGGTCTCGAAAAGCCTTCAAAACTCTCAGTCTGGCTGTACACAGGTTGAAAATTCTCTAGGTCTACCCGATAGGTGGCGCTAGTGTGCCACGGTGTTATGCGGTTACAAGGCACGGCAACGCACTCGGTCACTGTCAAATGCAAATGTGTGAAACAGCCTTTAATGCAAGCCAACTAAAATAACAAGATTGCGTTTAATATATGAGCAAACCTCCACAATTTGGAGTAAGAAGATGGCGAGTATATAGAGTAAGTGAACTCTAGGCCTGTTTCTCGAACCTCGAAAGTTGGTCAGTGTGAGGGTTCTGGGAAAGACGACTGGCTTCTCGATCGGACGGGCGACGGTCGTCTTGTCTGGCGGCGTGTATGCTGCTTCCCCTCGGTCACTTTGTGTGGTTTTGTTCATCTACGGAGGGACCGCGTAGGCTTTTCCGCCGACGCGGCCACCCTGGAAAGCGGCTTCTTGTGTCTCCCCCATCGGGATGACCCCTCGGGAACGGATGGTGTTTTTCTTTTGAATCTGGAGGATTGCGCATTCTACGGGGCTTCTTGGGTTCCAACCTGGGGGTTTCGGAGAGGCGCCGCCGCTGTGTCTACAACGGGATGCATGGACGAATTTATGGAGCTGCCGGCTGTAGACCGTCGGCAAGTTAACGAATGTCTATCGACGCCCTTGCCAACTATTGGACGGTGGATATCACGTGGCTCCAGCAAAACTTTGAAACGATTGGTTTATCCGCGCCGGAGAGTGAGGGGGTCAACGCCCTGAAAAGATCGCGACTGAGGAGAGAGAGGACCCTTTCTGGCTTGGACTTGGACTAATTTAGAGGACGGCGAATTTCCATTGCTTTGTATTTACGTTGTACAATAGCTCGTAACGTATAAATAAAATGTTTAAACAAAGTTTTCCCGCATCTGTCGCACTCTTCTGATCACCCACCGAACAAGGCTCATCAAACGATTGTCCCCGCGAGACACCGTAGGGCAGTCTACATCTATTCACCTAAGGGACGAACTTTTACTTTCAGGTTATAAATATAGGCTTAAAAACTTCATACACTAGCTGTACAAACGAACAAGCTAAACTGTAAATTAAAAGTAACAACAAAAGGGTCCAGTATTTTTTCTTGTTTTGTTAAGAGCTTATAATTACTTTTATGTTTTACAAAACCCGATTCATGAACCCTAAAAAAAAGTTCACAATTACAAACTTCAAATCCTGCTATACCAGTTTTACAAACAAACAAGCTAAGATTTAAATATAAAGTTAAAAAATGTGTAGGGCAGTTCTTCTCTCGCACGGTTCCTTTCAGCCCTAAGTTACTAATTACTTTCAAAGTTTTCTGAAATCCATTTTCCGAACCTTAACTACAGGTCACATTTTAAGACGTAAAATGCCCTTCATACAGTAGTTTTACTAAGAAACAGGCTAAACGAATATTCGAAAAATGTGCGGTGTGGTCCTTCCTCGTACAGATTTCTTGCAGCTTTAAGTTAGTAATTAAATTCAAGCTTCAACAGACCTCCTCTCCGAACCTCAAGGACAGTTCACAATTAAAGGCTTAAAATCTTGATATACGACTGTTAAGAACGAGCATGCTAAAGTGTAGATAAAAAAGTTGGAAATTATGTGGAGTAGTATCTTACCACGTACCGTTTTTCTCAACCCTAGGTTTCTCATTACTTTCAGTTATATTAATGTCAAGTCACAGTGCATTGTAGCCGCATTCATCTGCTGAAACCACAGTAATACATTAAAATCTCTCGTCAAGTTGCATGTCCAGACCAGAGCCGCTAGCTGAAAAAGAGAGCATAGTGACATCAAACAAGAACACCGCTTTAACAATTGAGCATTCGACTAAATCACCAAATACATAGGTCACCCTGCTCAACAGCCCAACCAATACGCCCGTTGCCCAACTTTCAAGAACACACGAAGTCCTGGTACGATGTAGTTTTCCTCACAAGCACAATTTGTTCGTGCCATGGAGCCGAATCTGCAGACTTGCAGACCACGGCCATCATCTCAATCTTGTCTTGGCCGTTGTCCCTTCCGGCTAGAAGCCTTGGCGGTTCCAGAAGCTTCTCTGGGACGATCGTGGGTGCAGTCCTGCGAACCGTTGATACGATGGGCGAGTTTAGGCGACTCAGGGTGTTCCCCGCGTCAGTGCCCTGCGTGGTCAGCTCCGCCACGATGCCCGTGGATGGGCAGCTGCTCGCGGTGCAGCTGGTCACTTTGGCGTTCTTTTCCGGGCATCTGCAAACCTGGTACCTTAGGGCATTGACCAGGCTGCGATTGAAGAAAAGGTAGATCCAGGGGTTGACGCAGCTGTTGAGGCTGTTGAGCAGCATCAGGATAGTTACAGTGGCATCTGCACAGAAAATACAAAGTCAGCACATAATTTGGCGTGGAAGCAGATCTTTGAATATGCTACTCGTTTTTAAATTGTCTACATTTTTTTAAAAATATGCAGAACTGTTCTGAATGTCTGTGGTGTGTAGAGGAAAAGGCAGTTCCTTCCCTTTGTGCCTACCGACCTAATCAATCCAACAAGACTTCGACGCTCTGCCGTCCCAGGGCGTTCTCATCTCCTCCTCTCACTCTGCGTCTATATGTATTGTCACATCTCACAACTATCTACAGCGCAAACAAAGACAGAGACTGATGAACCTAAATCGTACGAATAGGCACTTCCCAAAGCGTGCTCGCGCCCGTCCCTTTGTCTGCACTGCAGATGCCTGTGAGATTAATCATACATGTATTTGCGCTTTTTGCATGTATATATCTGTGCGTGACCGAAAAAGCAGCAGCCGAGTTTAAGGGTTAGAGGTTTTCAATCTTCCTCGCCCTGAATTCCATCGGTCAGAGGCATTCATAATAAAATCGAGTTTGGTTCTGCTCCGAAACATGTTCATTGTCAGTGACTGCATCTTCATTGAACCATTGCAAGTTGCAATCTACCTTGTTTTGTGAGGCTGAGGGGACAATGAAACGGTGGCAAAGCGGTACGTGTCAGAGCAATGAAGCCTGAATTACACGGACCTGAAGCACGCGCTGCCCAACCATGATCAAAATGTCGTCTTCTTTCGCACTGTCCGAACGCAAGCAGTGCCACATCTATAGTCACTGGCAGAGCAAGAACGGCAGGACGTGCCTTTCGAACGCTCGGCCTCCAGCACGCGCTCCACGCCTTCCGCCGTCCTCCCGCAGAGCGCACGTGCTCCCGCAGAGCACGTGCGCTCTGTGGGAAGGATGACTGCGCGAGCAGAATGCTCGCGCTGCAGGCGGTATGACTATTAAGATCCCTCCTGCCGTTTCCACCACGTCTTGTTCAGCACTATCTGAACAAAAGCATTTCCGAAGCTGTGTGGTCACTAAAGGCCGAGCCCCACCGTAGCGATAAACATGAAACAGAAATAACACGATTGCACCCACAGCGCCAACGACCCTTATATTGGCTAGGAACGCTTTCAGTACGAACCTTTTTAAGAAACACTCAACCCCAGGGGCACCAAACCGTTTTCGAGCCCAGTCACTGGGTTTGAGGCCAGACTCTCACCGGCGTCCCTGCTAACCCTAACCGAGTGGATTGTGATTTCGACACGCGCAGCCAATGTAGGCGCAGTTTCAAACACTGCTGGCAGCTAAATTCTCGTCTTCTCGCGCTGCATTCTGTGTTTCATGGTGTATGTATTTTCCAGATGACATTGAGAAAGCATTGTAACACTTAAAAAAAACAGGAAAAAAAAATACTGTAAACTATTTTTGTTGGGTACGCGGTCGACTGAACGAATGCGTTTGAAATGTTAGTTGTTATTTTTTTTTTACGGTAAGTTTTGACGGCGCCACCGATTAGCCGCGTGTCAAACGACAAAGTGCGTATTTGTCGAAAATAAGTTACAACAGAAGATAGCCGAAAAGCATGCATTTGTCACGCTCACAAATAGCGTGTTTATCGATGAACAGGACGCGGATATACTATTTAGCCAGATTTAACATTCGAACAATATATTGTACGTACCACACGATGCAGTGTTAATTTATATTTATATAATAATTTATTTAAGAAATATCTCAAATAACACAGTTACAGTCGACGTCAGTCACATCTTGACGATCGGACGGAATCCAAGAAGACTTCGGTTTGGGGCACGTTTTGGGGAGAGCTTCCTCCTTCCACACCAGCACCGAGGCCACGGTGTAGGACCGAGGCGAAGGAACGGGCGCGACTGACTGCAACCGGAACAACTATTTCTGGCAATGAATGAGAAGGACTCTACGAGGATTATCTCTGGTACAGGGGAGAACAGTTGTCATTGTTCGCAAAATCGCGTCAAGGGCCGTTCGACGTCCTTCCCCTTTTTCCTGTCCCGTGAATGTCGAGCAGAAACGCTCGAATGGCCCAGTGGCGGATCCAAGGGGAGGGGGGGGGGGCGGTGGGGGCGATCGCCACCCCCCCCCCCCCAAACGCCTCGCCAGGCAACCGCCCCCCCCCCCCCCCCTCCCCGGGGTTCTTCGTCAGCTCGAAGAAGAAACGTGGGCAATCGACGCGAGAAACAAAAGATTAAAACAGCGGTGGGTGGACGCGGCTGCTGGGCGCTTCCAAAGTGGAGTTTATCTCCGTCAAGGTCACGGTACGTCTTCCCGACAGGGACGGCGCCAGGAGTTTCGAAGTGGAGAGACAGTGGGGAGGCGCACCAAATATCAGGATCCTCGACTGCAGACACACTTCCAAACAAGGCCAGCACGTCGAGCACGGGGGGAAAATACCTTCAACATATCTAGTCCCCTTTCTCTCTCTCTCTCTCTGTCTCCCTCTCTCTCTTTGGGGGTTGTCTGCAAAAAATTTGTGCCCTGAAAGCTCCCAAACACAGACGCCAAGCAGCCTTCCTCAAGGGTAGCGGATTATCCTTCCTCTCTAGCGGCCGCCTTTTCATCACTTCTCGTTTGATAGTTTCTCTGTGGTTCTGGGCTTGTCTTTTGGCATGTCTTTTTTGGCTTGCTTTGAGATGCTGTCGCCCACTGGCTCACTAAAGGTATCTTATTGGCACGGTGTGCTCATTGCGAAGGGAAGTGCGGAGGGGACGTACCGGGAGGAGACATTCCAGGGGGGGGGGGGATGCAGCTTGTACAACCAGGTGACCAATTGCTTTTCTTCTAAACTGAGAGAAGAAGCAAATGCTCTGGGTACAGTGTAGTCTGGGTCTGAGCTTCTTTTGAAGACGCTCCGGACTTCCCCACGACTTTGCCTTAAACATTAGCCCACCTTCGTCCTCGCCTCCATCCCTCACTGGGGATCAGCGCTGCAGCGCGGAATACAGAAAGAAGCCGCCGAGTGCCAGAAGGGGAGATGTTTCCTCTAATGGGCTTCTTACTGCCTGCGGTACGACTTCTCGTGGCGGGAAGCTAATAAAATAAATATAAACGGTACGAGCACTCTAAATGCTGGAGGCTGCTTACACGGTGTCCTCAAGCCGACGCCGTAGGCATTTATTTGCATACAATGCCGTTTCAACTTAGGGTGGTGGGACATATTTTAGGAAAGGCGCCCGCTACCCCTTGTCTCCCCTTGGCGCCGTCTTTTCCAGTTAAACGCGGCTTCTGTGGATTGACGGCAGAGTTTTCGCGCGGCTTTGCAGGAGCGAATATGTGTGTGTCGAACGGACTTGGGGAAAACGAGCTCTTTCAAAGATGTGACTATACATAAATTAAATAGACAGTGCCTGTCTATTCGAGTGAACACCGACTCCCAAATATCCATGCTGCAGTCGTGATCGGCCTTTAGCCCAGTTGAGATTCGCCGACCTTACAACCGCTCCGCCCTATCATATCTCTGCACCTGTCCTCTCGACCCTGACGAATGAGCTAACTACCCAGAAACAAGTAAGTGTTCCTTTGATACAAAAAATATCCAGACGAAATGCAATTGAACATAATTAGGAAGGATCCATTGCTGGTTTAAGGTCTTGTCTAAGTTCAAAAGTTACAGTTGTCGAACTATAACATTATGCTTCCAGAATTCTGCGCTCTGGATATTCCAAATATACGGCGAACAACCGACGAACTTGCATGGCAGCGTTCGTTTCGCTCGCTGAGTCAACAGTGTTTTGACGCCGCGAGCAGCGTCGAAGCCGCCGGGCCATTTTTGTCGCTTGTTTGCAACGTACTCGCTCCGCTGATTTAAGCCGCTCTTCCCGTTGCCGCAGCAGTTGAACACTAGCTCCAACCAGAATGTCTGCCAAGGCAATGTCTTTAAGCTGCCCTAAATCGACTGCTCACGTAGTGTCGGTCTGAAACCCATGTTTCAGAAAGGATAGTGTCACCACAATTTTCGAGATACTTACCTCTAGCGTGGTCACCCGAAAGGTTTTAATTCAAAGAGTTCATCCCCGACAGGTAAACTGATACAAAAGCTCTCAAGATCTATATTATGTTATCCGAGCTTAGTAAAAACGATAACTCCACAAAAAATATAAACACCCCCCCCCCCCCCCCCCCGCCGTTTTACACCAAGGAACCGCCCCCCCTAAAATGGAGGTCTGGATCCGCCCCTGGAATAGCCAGGCACTTACCAGCCCTATTTCTCACAGTGGAAGATAACGCAAAAAGGGTACGCAGTATTCATTAGAAAAATTAGGTGGAAAGTTTCAAGAGGGGCCAGAAAACGTCGAATGCAAAACCGCAAAACATATATAAAATCGCGCTGAGCGGGTTTTCACAGTCCAAGAGAATGGCAGAAAATTTCTAGCTGGTGGAGGGCGCGCGATTCGCACCAGCCGCATCAGCATCAGCAACATGGCGGCGGCCTAGGAGATGTCAGCCACGAACTCCGTGAAAAGACACGGAGTCTATCCGCAGATATGATGACAGAATTGTCGGCAAACACGCCTCAAGCATCTTCAAAGCATGTTTGCTTCATACATATATGTGCTCTTCGAACATGTCTCTAGACGGTTTTTACATGAGCATGAGCAAGAAAGAAACACATTGCAGACGGTGTCTGCACGCTGCCTTCCGTACGACGTATTAGCCGTGTCACCGCGGCTTTAGACAACATATTCCGAAATTTCGTACGAATTACAAAATTACGACCACTACAACACAGACTACCATTTCCCTTTAAACGACACGAAAATATAGACTGCTTCACTTTTAAGCGGGTCATGAACGACATCGGGTTGGAATGTCCATGACTATACAGAGGGGTACTGATCCTATTCTGGCCAAAGTATTCTCGCACTGGTTTCCACTGATTCAGAAGCTTCTTGGTCGCGGTGAAATTGTGGGGATAAAAGGGGACTATTTCTTTCAGGCTTGCCTTCGCAAAGCTTGATGACATAATTGCGGGATCGGAACCACCCGCCTGACAGT